ACATTTTAGGAAAACTGTTACTAGTAGACATTGGATGAATCATCTGAGGGTTCGGAAAATTAATAATAAAACATAAACACTCCTTTGTTTGAATGTACCACAATTATGCCCAAAATATATTGTGCCTCATATGGCAGGACTGTAGTTTGCTTCGTAGCCACTGGGTTGAATGCCCAGACGACGTCGGACTCTTTCTTTGCCTTCAGACAGCATGAAAAGAATTTTGTTTTTATCCTAATCACAAAGACCTATAGAACATTTCATTACAGAATTTGTTTTGTTAAAACTAGCTTTGTTAACAACTCAAGTGGAGGGATTCTCTCAAATGTAATTTTAATAGAGCTATTTCCCCCCCATAAACACATTCCATCTTATTTTGACTGTAGTGTAAATTTAGAACACTTGACTAAGTTTCTGATTCATAGGTACCTACATTCTCACAGGAGAATCCTATTTACGAGCTATAACCGCTAATTGGCTAGCTTTCTCGGCCCCTCAGTAGAACCTATTGAATCCAGCTGAAAATTTTGACTCCTGCTTTCACTTTTTAAAATGGCAATTAATTCACAGTCTTTGGTACTGTGATGTATCTCACAAATGTTGTGCAACATTAAGAGTTATAGAAAGTAACCTCCCAGTTTTAAGGTTAGCAATTAGATGGTACTTTAAAATACAAGTGTTGATGTAATTAGTAGGCGGCAGCTGTTTAGGTTTATCAAATAGGAAGGGCCTGCCCTGTGAAAAGCACTATTCCACATCCCTGATTTTGAACCCCTGCCTCTCCAGGAGAATACCCTGACTGTTAATTAAACAGTCCTAAATACGCATCTGTTTTACCCAACATCCTACTACATTAGAATTCCTTGAGCTATCAAGAAGGAAATCATCTCATAAAGGCAAACTAAGCTGATGATAATTCTAAATGCTTTGCTATTAAAATAGTTGTCACTATTAGGCTATACCATTTTAAAGAGCATTTGAAAGAATTTTAAATGTTAATTGCTCCCTTGTTTCTGTTAAACTCTGGCCTCAGACAGGCTCTGATCTTCCATTACCCTTCAGAGTTTCCAAACAAAAAATGTTTTGAAGGCTTGAAGAAATAGAAAAAGACTGCAAAAACAAAGGAAGGTAGACAGGAATATATGTTTCTGTTAGTTGAATGTAAACAGCTAAATATATTAATCGTTAAACCAAACTTTATCAAGAAAAGAAGGGAGGCTATTTATGGGGCTAATCATAGTGAAGGGTGCAATGGATAATTCAAAGTCAAGAAAAAACAGGAATCTTGGTGGTGGACACCCATATAACTTTGACTCAAACTGCACAAAAGCAAATCATGTAACCAAGGTGTTTGTACTCCAGTAATATTCTAAAATAAAAAAAAGGAAAAGAAAAAAGAGAAAGATCAAGGAAAATGAGGAATAATTTTCTCTTAAGACTTTATCCCATTGTGGAATTACTCTTCTAAAAGCAAATGATTAAATAAAGAATCCTGGACACCCAAATTTATCCATGCAAGACATTATTTTTCCTCTGAAGGAAAAGATGGCAGGAACAAGACTGCCTCAACCACGGACCCAAACATGAACTAGATGACCTAATAGGGCTTTTCCATCTCTTATTTCCCATACTTGTGTTCATAAATTTTCCTGCTGTTTAATTCTTTAATCTTTTGATGGAACTTCTGAAAACTTCTATGGAAAAGATCCAAATTGGATATAGCTTATTGACTGATAGTAAGGGGTGGGGTAACCCTACTCATTTCACTCAATTAAGTAGAGACAAGAAATATTTGCTCCCTTACTAATTCAACAAACATTCTTCTATTCCTACTATGTTCCAGGCTATAGTCTATGAGCATGAAAGTTTGGCATCCTCACGCCCAACCTCCTAGTGCCTTGGTTAAAAAAGATATTAGGTGTGATGTTCACACAACATACTTGGTTCTTTGACCCACAGATGAAAAAATCAGTATTATATAAAATGGGAGGGTGCTGTGTAAGAGGAAGAATGAGAATGAGCATGATTCTCGTTCCCAATGAGCAACAACATAATTCTATACGTCCTGCTATCAGCTCCGCGTTCTCATTTTGCATGGCTCGGAGTCTTGTAGCTGTGTTCTATGAGGATACAGGGACAGGGGTGGAGAAAACGGCAGACGGGCCCGGCTTCCACTGTTCATAGCAGCGGGTCCCTTGTAATTACTCTACTGTTCCTGTGTGCTAGTTCTAGGTGTCAGGAATCCCAGGCCCTGGAATAAAGTTTATGGTAAGGCAGGGGAAAAGGACATGATTTTAGTAGTTCAAGTACTCTGCAATGGAAATTGTGTGACATATTGGTTATGGAAAGAGAATAAAATAGAGGTCAAGGCGCCCGGTTTAAAAGGAGGAAGATATAAATCTACCCATGTGATAAAGTTTTATACTTACACTTTGAACAAATTTGAGTCTAGAATTTTCAAATTTATTTCATCATGGGATGAAATTAAAAATTATAATGTATCTAATGAATACTGCCAGGAGGTTGTAGGATATATTAAAATGTTGGAAAGGTAAACAGCCAATAAAAAAAAAACTAACTAAAAAACTAAAAAAAGAGTTTATTAATGAATTCTTTGCTGCATGAAATGACAAACATTTTATTCATGTGTTTAACACACAATAAATGTTGGGTATCAAAATATCAGTTTATGACACGATCTACAACATTGATCAGTCAGTCAGCCTCAAACAGGAAGAACCCACAACTCTCTGCTTCCTTAGCTGCTGCCAGCACAGGACACACGTGGACCCACACTGCACCACAGCAGAAGCCGGGCCCATTTGCATTTTCTTAACTGACATCTATACGCCAACTGATTTTATGAAACTTGACTTAAAAGAGATGATTTACAATTAGGGAGGCTACACACATGTGATTACTTTTAAAATTATGAACTTAAAACATATTTTGAAAGAAAACATACTACAAGTATTGGTTTAGAATTTTCGTGGAGCCCATATTAGCATCTTCTGTAATGTGATACTTGTCGTCATGTGGACAGGAAAAGGAAGGGTGGTGTAGACTGAGAAGTCAATGAGCAAGTGTGTAGACAGGAGAGTGTGTGGGGAACAACACTGTAGCTGAAGCCAAAGAAATGCGGGGGGGGGGGGGGGGGGGGGGGGGGGGGGGGGGGAGCAGGGGAGGCAGATGAGGCTCACCTGGCTGATAGGGGTCATTTTTGAAAGGAATTCAATGACTCTGCCTTTGACTGCTAACATTGTCTCTAGTAAAAAAGTCAATCGTATTTTAGCTGTTTCCATTTTCCTAGTTTCTTTAGAACTTTCCATATGCCAGTACCAGTGAGCCACCTGTAAATATGCCATCAGTTTCAGCTAAAACAAGTACATTTAAGCCCTATGTTCTAGACAATTTGCTAGACAGTTTACATGTAAGATCATGCTAATAGCATGAACACTGTGCAAAAACAGTATTATTAAACCAACTTTAGAGTTTAGAAAACTGAGGCTCAATCTGCATGTGAATAGAACCTAATGGAAGTTCATTTTACTTTAATAATTGAGCTTTGTAATGGCATTTCCCCAAGAGTGTTCCACAGAGGAAATTATGAGAAGAAAGCATTCTATAGTCGCATAAGTATGGGGACCAAACTGTACTACATCTTTCCCTCGAAGACTCACAGGCATTTGTGTTATTAAAGTCCTTGAGAACTCTAAAAGAAAGAAATCTATTTCATTTTGTTTATCTATTTCACAAGCTGTAGCTGACTGTCAGAGGATTTTTTTTTTTCTGGTAAAACATTTAACATTCCAAGAAATACTCTGGCAAACTCTGTCTTAGAGACTACTGGGAGAACAGTATTGATTAGAACTCTTCTTATTTAGAATTGGAGAAATATAAACCATATTGTATGCTCTTAAATCAATCTTGTCAGAGCGAGGGTCATGACTCACTGGGTTGTGAAATCAATGAAGTGGCCCTCACCTGTATAAAAGGAAAAAGAAAATAGGAAGAAAATATCAGGGTTGCCACACGCACTACAGGTAAGCACTGATCACGCGGTGTTTACTGGGCCACCATGTATCGTGCATTTCTCTCTGTGGTCATGGCCAAAAATGTCTGAAGCCACTGTTTCCTGTAAGTCACATGAATTGCTTGTTCTGCCAGGAGTTAGGTGATGAAAAAATGTCCGAATGTTGTAAAATTAACACAAAAGGGGCTACTGTAACACTATGGCTAAATATGTTATCTGTTATTACTTAAAATCAGAGAATTTTAGAGCTGAAATACGTCATAGGGAAGAAACCAAAAAAGAGTTTTAGTGACTTGTCAAGGCCAGACAGCTGTTAGCTGGGCTAGAACCCGAGTCTCTGATTTGTGCTCTCATATTCTTCTGTCAGTGTGAGCTGACAACATTTTTATTTATGGAATGCTTACAGTTACTTCTTTTTGATGAATAAGAAAACTAGGTGCAAAGTTCAGCAAATCACTCCTGGATGGCAAGTCAATGTCAGGTTACAAAAATGCTACAGGCTTCAGTTGAAGGAAAAAAGTAATTTAGAGATACTTTAGTGCTGGGGTCTCATTTCAATTTCAACTATTAACCTACTAATCAATCTAATACCCTGTGTTACTAGGTGGGGCCATTTCGTTACCTAGGTTCTGGTGTGCATATATAAACGTCCCGGATATGCGATTTTGAGATGACTGAACAGATAAAACATCAGTGAACACCAAATCTTGCCATGAGTAAGATAAAGGCTCAACCGTTACTTGACTTCTCTAGGAACAAATAATGAATCAAAGTTATAGGAAACCTTCCAAACTCATCCCGTTTTTACAGGAACTATGACTTATGGAAGCATCTCTTTGCAAAACAAACATCAGCTTCTTCATGTTTTATTCTAGGCAGGCCCCTTCAAGACTTTCCAGCTGAAGTCTTGAAGATTGTATCTAAATTTGTGCCTAATCTTTCTTCTCCCTCGGTCTGTTTTTGGAAGGGCGCGCCAGAGACTGGTCAGTAGAAGTTGGCAGCGGCTCCTTTCCCTCCTCTCCACGCCCTGGACAGCACCCGCAGGTGTCTCTGCTGGGGGCGGGCCTGCGCTAGGATGCCAGCAAACTCCAGGTTGGTGGCGTCTCCTTTCTGGAAGCTTCGGGCCACAGCAGCGGGCAGACGTCGTCTGATAACTTAATCTTGGAGCGGGCGGGCGCGGGGCCTGTGCAGCCCAGTGATAAGCGGAGCATCTGGGCGAGTCGCAGAAGGGACGCGGCGCCTTTCAAAGCTAACGTGAGCGAATCGAGCACGCAAACAAGAGCCTTCGGGAGGAAGACCCCTCCCTCCCAAGACGTGGGGGGCGCCGGGTGTCTGGAGGGCCCGTCGCGTCACTGAGACCTGGAGGCTGCAGGGCTTTCTCGGGGGAGGCTGTCGCTGGCTGGGGCGCAGGGGAGGTCGCAGGAGACGAATTTCCGACAGCCGGGACCAGCCCGCGGACCCTCCCCTTCCTATAATTAACTCTCCGCGCGTCCCGCCAGCCAGGACTGGCGGCGCCCGGGACCCTCCTCCGCTCCCCTAACTGGGGGAAGGGAGGCTCCCGGGCCGGGGGTCAAGCCCGGGCCACCCAGGCTCCCGCGTGGTCTCCAGCGCGACTGGGCGCGGGTGACGTGGGCGCGCGGGGGGGGACAGCGGGGGAGGAGACGCAGGGAGGCAGCGGAGAGCAGGGGAGAGACAGCAGGGGCCGACGGGAGAGACAGCGGGGAGGGGCCGGGGGAGGCGCCTTCTTAGCGCCCGGCGTGGTCGGGCAGCCAGCAGTCGCCGGTCCGCGGGCGACTGGAGCCGGCGGCGGCGCACTCCTCCCGGCTCCCGCCGGCCTGCCTCCTCCTCCTCCTCCTCCTCCCCTCCCCGCCCCGCCCGCCCCTGCCCTGCGCGTGCGGCGAGCCGCCGTCTCCTGCCTCTCTCCGCTCGCTCGCTCGCTGCCCCGCCGCGCCCCGGGGAGCCGCGCGTCCTCCCGCCCGCGGGGCCGATGCTGCTCGCGACGCCTCGCGGACGCCGCTGCGGGCGGAGGTAGCCGGAGCCGGTGCCCGACCCCGCGCCGCCGCACCTCTCGCGCCGCACCGGGGACGGCGCGGTCGGCCGGGCGGGGCGAGCGGGACGGCGCGGGGCCCACGGCGCGGGGCCGTCCGGCGAGGCGCGGAAGACTTGGCCGCGGCCGCTGCGCGCTTGCTCTGAGAAAGTTGTCTGGGGCTTGCTCCGGCGCTCGCCTCGCCGCGGTCGGGCGCTCGCCTCGGGATGCGTCTCGCGCCGCTCTGGTTGCTGGCAGCCGCGCTGGTGGAGGCCGGGGCGCCCGGCGACGGGCAGGTAGGCGCGGGCCGGTGGCAGTGGGGAGCCCGGACCCAGCCTGCGCCCCCAACTTCCTCCCTCTCGCCTCCCCCCCGCCGCCTCCCCGTGCCCCGCGTCCCGGGCTGCGCCGCTCCGGCTGCGGCTGCCACACCTGGCCGCTGCTCCCGCAACGCGCGGCCCTCCCGACGGGCGGGGCGGGCAGGCGTGGGCGGCCGGGATCCCCCTCCGGGAGGGCGGCGGCGTGGGTCGGGCCGGAGCCCTTCCGGCAGCGGGGCGGGCGTGGGTCCGGAGGGGGCGGGCGTGGGGTCCGGGCCGGGACCCTCCGGGCGAGCGGCGTGGTCGGGCGGGAGCGGGCGTGGGCCGACCCTCCCGGAGGGCGGGCGTAGCGGGCGTGGGGTCCGGGCCGGACTCCTGGAGGGGGCGGAGCGGGCGTGGGTCCGGCCGGACCCTCCGAGGCGGCCGGGCGTGGGGTCCGGGCGGGAGCGGGCGTGGGCTCGACCCTCCTGGGGGGCGGGCGGAGCGGGCGTGGGGTCCGGGCCGCCGGGTCGCGCAGCGGCCGGAGCCGGGTGGCGGGGCGTCCTCGGGCCGGCCGGGGAGCAGGTCCAGTAGACGCGTGTCCTGGGAGGACCGAGGCGGCTCGGTTTGACAGTTGGGGAGTGTCCGGTGGCGACGGTTCCTGCCCTGCGTTTCCCGGCAGGGGCTGGAGGCGCCGCTCCCCCCCCAACTCCTCCTGTTCGGAGGCGCGTCGGGGCAGCCGGGTCTCCGCGCCCCCCCTCCGGGAGGCTCCAGGTGCAGCCCGCGCTCGGCCGAGTCCTGGACAGGGCTCGCCGCCGTCTGCAGTGAGCCACCTGGCACCGGGCCGGGGACTTGGGGACAGAATTGCTCTGTGAGGTTTTGTAGCTTCTCCGGTCTGCCTGGTCTGACCATAGGCCACAACGTAGAGAACTGGCTAGTTGGTTCCTGACCTCAAATCTGATGCATTAGGCGCACCCCCCCCCAGCGCCCCCACCTTTTAGACTTCTTTTCCCCTGTTTAAATTCAGAGACTTTCTTTTCTAATCCAGACCCAGTATGGGAGTTTTCAGAAGAGACTATTGAGTGTCAGCATTTATTTTTGCTGGCTTCATGAAAGTTAAATTAAAATTAAGTTAAATTAAAATTAAGACGGGGCAAAATTCCCCAAATTGTTATTGAATTGGCTCAAGCTCCTGTCACCGGAACCTTCTACAGACCAAGGTACACCAATCCCAGTCTCCAGCGTCTCCTGATTAGCCAGCTCCTGAAAAGCATTAATGGTAGAAATAAAACGCATGAGGTGATAAGATGAAACCCAGTAACTTTCTTTTTCTTACTTTCCCCCTCCTTTCCAGGCTGGTAATGAAGAAATGGTGCAAATAGGTAAGCCTTGTTCTCACATGTCACTCTTATCTTAGTTGAAAGCAGGGAGTGAAGTAAGCTAAGCAAAATATTGTTTCTGAAATTTTTCCCATTGGTGGTTAAAAAAATAATTTGTAGTCCAGAAACATTTGTGTTCTTCTCTTTCTGGAGGAGGGTCCCACTTTCCTCAGGCTAAACTGTGGTGATGTGAAAATTCTCCCGCAGTTGGACTTTTCAAGCATGGATTTATTTCTGTCTTTGTACAAGCCACTGGTGTACTCACAGGGTGATGGAGAGGCTGGGAGAAGGTGTGGAGATGAATAAAATCAGATCCTCAACTTCTGTAGCAGTAGGAGGAGCCCATCTGAGTAAAACAGAAGGCAAGTTGTAAGAGTGCTACAAAGAAGCGGAAAAATGAGTACAGAGGCTGAAAATTTTTCTATTAAGATTTTTCCTGCTTTGGGAAGATCCTCTAATGACTTCTTTTATTCCATCCGCTTGAAAATAATTACCTATCATGTGCAGAATACTCTTAGGCTTTTGCAGATAACAATTAAAACATCAGTATTACCTAATGCTGTGGGGATTATTCCCATTTTATGGGCGAGGAGACTGAGGTTCAGAGAGTGTGACTTGCAGCAGGTCACTCTAACGTCCATGGTCTTTCTTGAAGCTGTTTAGAATGATACATTTGTTCTGAATGCAGAGATGGAAAGTCGTCTGGCAAGGAGCCAGGGTGCATTCAAAGACTTTTTTTAAACTCCACATTTTACTTGGATTACTTAAAAGATAAATTTTCTTTTTGGCAGAGTATTAGTCTCTGTAAATTCCGTGTTTGTCAAGTGACACTGTAAAGTCATCTTTTAGGAGAGGAGTTTTTACTGCCTGCTACTGCCAACGTAGCTACAAGTCACGGGCCATCGAAATGCCAGGCGCAGTGTCAGTCACTTTGTGTGCTTTGTACCCCTTATTCCAACAGCTACACTTTGAGGTGGGGATACTCTTGTGCCTATTTTAGAGAGGAGGAAAATGAAGCTTGGAGGTGGCGCCACTATGTATTTTAGTAGGACATAGGGGAGATCCACGGTTGTTAACTAATGGGGTACACCCAAAATCCAGGCCTGGGGGTGTGCATATGTCGTGTGCTATATGTGCATATGTCAAAATGCCCCTGCCTGCTCAGTCTGAGCATTGTTGGCTATACTCCCCAAGCTTAGACCTCGATAGAAAGAGCAGAATAGAGGAGAGGAGTGATCGAGAACTGCACTGGAAATACACTAACAAGAACTGCACTAGAAACTGTCTGTGAAGAAACATTAGCCATTTGTAGTGGATGGCAATCAGCCACCCATGTATATCTTTTTAAAGAAGGAATTTTTTAACCAACCCCTAAATAAGCAGGGAAAAGAAAGCCAACTTATTTTTAATTGCTTAAATATTTGATTCCTTCAACATCCCAACTTTTCAATGTGTTAATTAAAAAGATGTTTAAGATTACCCATTCCACCAAAGGAATACTCACAAAGTAAAGTATATCACTTTGATTAAATTTTCAGATAGACTCAGGATACTCTCGCGTAAGAGGTGCCGGGTTGACCTTTGGTCCAGGCTTGTTTTCAAGGGGAAAGAAATGGTACAGGTGTGCTTAAATTTGGCGGAGGGGAGACAAGCAGCAGTGTGGAAGAGAGGAGGGCATGGGACGCTTAGATGCTGGTGATGTACTTGCCCTCATATTCCTCTCCTTTATGGGATTTCTCTCTTTTGTCATTATCATTTTTATTACCATTTTCAAGTTGAATGAAGAGAGGAATAAAGGTCAAAAGATAGATTTTGGCTCACAGCCTTGTGATAGAAAAACTGTAACTACCATTTGGCTTTGGATTTTGGTAATTTGGATAACTCTTAAGAGGGATTTTAAAATATCAATCTAAGAAAATCTCATGTATAATAACGAGTTTCAATCCCCTGTCCCCATGTGTAAAGACACCGCTAACCTGGAAGTTTGGTAAAATGCACATATCCTGTACATATCATTTTTTTTCCCTAATAACTGACTTAAAAGTATTTAATATAACTGCCTGGAGATGCTATTTGATCAATGACACACTAGGAAACACTAATAAGGTTTGTAGATTTTATTGATGATTGATTGGCTACTCTACAAATTAGCTAGAGAAATTCCACAGCTTTGAATAATTTCCTAATAATTTAATGTCTCAGGAAGAAGTAAATATAAATTAATAATAAATCACAATTGTTAAGCTAAATTTAAAAAATATTTCTGTTGAAATATACATGTAGGATAGCACATACAAGCATACAGCTTACTGATTCTTCACAAAGCAAATACTCCTAGTAACTATTAATAGCACCTGGATCAATAGGTAGAACATTACTAGCAGCCCTGTACCTTTCTTATAGTACTTGCCTAGCATTATCCCCTAATGAAATGTGAAATGGAACCACTCTCCTGACTTCTTTTTGTTGTTGTTGTTGAGACAAAGTCTCACTTTGTCACCCGGGCTAGAGTGCCGTGGCGTCAGCCTCGCTCACAGCAACCTCAAACTCCTGGGCTCAAGCGATCCTCCTGCTTCAGCCTCCCAAGTAGCTGGGACTATGGGTGCTCACCACCCACACCTGGCAAATCTTTTGTATATTTAGTAGAGATGGGGTCTCGCTCTTTCTCAGGTTGGTCTCGAACTCCTAAGCTCAAGCAATCCTCCCGCCTTGGCCTCCCAGAGTGCTGGGATTACAGATGTGAATGAGCCACTATGCGCCTGGCCTTGCCTGACTTCTAACAGGATAGATTAATTTTGCCATTCAGGGCTGGGAACCTGAGGCCTCAAGGCCACAGGTGGCCTTCTGGATCCCCAAGTGTGGCCCCTCAACCAAATGCAAACTTCACAGAACAAATCCCTTTACTAAAAATACTCTGTAAAATTTGGATTCAGTCAAAAGGCTGCACTGAAGGATCCAGAAAGCCACATGTGGCCCCAGGCCACAGGTTCCCAGCCCCTTCCAGAAGGCTTTTATTTAGGTAGAGAGAAGGCAGTATGAGATGGGGACAGGTTAGAATATGTGTAGATGCCTCACCTCTGTCGTGTGTAGTATGGGATATTGGTTCTTTCCTTCTCTCTTCAACCAGAGGAAAATGGCTTGTTGGTTATGTGGGAGAGTATGATTTACCCTAGAGAAAACAGGTCAGTCGGTTTGGAACCCTAACCTAGTTCTGTGCCTCTTTGTCGACTAAAGACGACTGCCTGCCCACCCACCTACCCCTGTACATGCATACATTTCTGTGTGTTTGTGTATATATGCGCAAGCATGTTTCATGAGATAACTGACATATTTCTGTGGCATATCAGTTAGTTCTTTCCTTTCTGACTCAGATCATGGCCTTGGAAGGTTGCCTGGGGTAATTGTGGGCACCTGGCTGCCTGGCCTAATTGGGTAAGGAGGCTTGCTCCGGGACACCTGTGGCTTAGGAAATCATCACAGTCCTGCAGAAATTGGAAAACCTTAAAAAGAATTCTGTGAGTCCCTTTGTTTTATAAGCTCCCACCATGAGATTGCCTGAGTATCATCTGAAGAAAAATCATTGTGAGGCTGTAGGGTTAAGATAGATGTCTTCCCTTGCTTGCCCCTCTCTTGGAACTGGGGCATTTTTATCTTTCTCTGCCCTATTTCTGTCCCACAGTGGCAAATTCCATGATATTTCATTCTTAAGTAAAGTTGCTATTCTTGTCCTCTCAGATAACTAGTTTACTGAGAGATAATTTTTCATCATTTTCAGGTATTTACTTGGTTTTTAGGATTTAGTGTGAGTCACTTACCTAGTTGTTGGTGAGCATTGTCACTAGTGTAACCCTCATGAGAGCAAAGAGTTTGTCTCAATGACAGCTGTATCCCCAGTACATAAAACAGTGCTTGGTACCTTGTGGATCGTCACATATTTGTTATTAATAGATCTAGCAAGCAGGGTATTATCATATTAGGATTTGCCTGTGTACTGAATTTCTTTAAATGTTCTTGTTTTCTGCCTCTCTCCAGGTTTAATTGGTCCTCAAGAAAATGATGGTGACAATGGCTATACAATTAATTATTGATGGCCTCTTGAGACTCCTGTTTTCACCCCACAGAGCATGGGGACTTAGGCCTATTGGTTTTTGTATGCCATTCTGTTTGTGCTCAATAAGTATTTGGCAAATTGAATTCTATGTGCAATTCTGGAATGCCAACTAATATTTTACTGCAGTCTACTTAGGATCATTTGCCTTGTTGCTGGTATCAGTGGAAATAAGATAAGCTAAGATTAAAATCTGTTGATGCAGTTTGCCAGCAATAATACTAAATAATGTGGTTGAGAAAGAGGTTTAAAGGGATCTTTTGTAAAGTTTAGAATTTTAGCTACTCGATCCATTATTCTTACTTGTAACTAAAGAACATGGAGTTGGCTTTAGTGATTTAGCTTCCACCCCTCATTAGAGCATGATTATGGTTAGTGTTAACTGCTTTAAGCTTCTCAGATGAGATTTTAAGTGCAGCATGTTATCTATCACCAGGAATTTATTGTTGCTTTTTAGCTAAAATATTTCTTCCCCATACTTTTAAGGCTTCCCCTTTTCATTGGACCAAATAATCATAATATTGCTCAGAAATGTTAAGAAAGCCTCAAGGTCACCTCTGCTTCCAGAATGATGATCCTTGAGCATTCTTTGCTGGTGAGTAGCCAAGCCAGATTACCTTGGAAATCCATTAGGGACAATTCCTAATTGCCTGGTAAAGTCATGAGTGGTTTCGATACAAAGAGCTAGATTATACTGCTTGGACTGGATATATTGACAGCGATGACTTAGATGGAACGCTGATGCTTCCTCACAGAGGACTGCAGTTACCAGAATTTTGGGAACTCTCTCTTTAGTGTTCCTGTGATAGAGATCAACTTTTATTCCTAAATTATGCTAGTTCTGTTGCTTTGAGTTGTTGGAGTTTTCTTTTTAAATAATCAGTTTTTTTCCTGA